ACTCTAGTAACTTGCTCGTGTCATTGTGTTACCTCACTTGTGGGTCGGTTCTTGCGGTGTCCTATCGTGTGGACGAGGTTTGTGAAACACCTCTTAGCCGCCGAACCACCAAGTGTTGGTCGACACAACGGGGACGTAGCGTGTTGGCAAGCACGTGAACCTCGGGAGAAAATCGATTGTCTCTTGTCTTTGGTATTCTTCCGGTGATTGGCTATATATTCATCTTGTGGTTGGTTCATCCCCTACACAGCGGTATAATCACCCTACTTCCTTATTTACATTCTTGCAAACTAGTTGATACAAGCTCTTTTAGTGTAATTAGAATTGAGAGCTTGCTTTATTATTTACATTCATCTAGTTGAGCTCTTTAGAGTAGCAAGACTGAGAGCTCTTAGTGAGTAGTTACATAGCAAGTTTGTGTGCCTAAGTAATCATTGCAACTAGAATTGTTGGATAGGTGGCTTGCAACCCTTGTAAAGCTAGAGCAAGTTTACATTACGCTATTTGTCATACTAATCAAATTGCTCTAGTTGATTTGTAGATTTTTAAATAGGCTATTCACCCCCCCTCTAGCCATATTAGGACCTTTCACACGTATTGCGATCTCGTAGAGCTGCATCCACTGCACGTATGCCAGATAGAGGAGGTCAAGGCAAGCTCATGGATATAAACAATTGAACTAATTCGGGCCTTACCCCAATTTCACTGGCACGGCGGCGCACCTGGCCGGCGGCGAGAAAAACCAGAAATTGGCCACCAGTAGTGCTCGGTTGCGCCAAGGTGAGTGTTGGGTTACTAGCTGGTTTTCCTATCTAACTACTAGAATCTGAATTGAGGTGTGGCATCCCGAACCGCACGTATTTGTCGTGCGAAGCAGGTGATTCTGTCGACGACAAGGGCAGGCGGGGATGACATCTCTTCAAGGCTATGCCTACTTTGGTCGAGGCTACGTTAATGAAGCGAGGCATCCATATGGGGAAGACTCAGAGAGAGAGCGTCATGAAGCGCCGTGATGGGACTGCTCGGCCATGGCAGGACGCGGGCGGTGGTAGTGAAGCAGCGATCGCGCGTGGAGCCGTCTCGCAGGGCCGGTGCAACAAGACAACGCGAGGGAGGGCAGTGACATCGCGACATGGCATTAGTGCAATGCGACTACGGAGACAGGCAGCGAGGGCTGATATATATAGGCCGGAGCACCCAACGTAAGCCCTATGATCAAACTGACTTAAGGAATGGAGTAGATACAACCTAGGAGGCGGTGGAAATCGACTTGACGACGCTAAGGCTGATAAGTGGGCCCAGGGGCTAGGCGGCCTGCTGGCAGCCCCTCGCTCTCTACCTCGGTGTGGTGTCCTCTAGAACCTTCTAGTGTCCGTTTCGCGGTGGATAAGCGCAATTAAATCTGACATGTAGGTCCACCTTGATAGTTTTCTGGATAAACCTTGTAGAAATCCTAGATTCACCAAAACTCATGGAATTTGTTAGTTTAAACCCCTAGACCTTTGTTGATGATTATATTTATGCCCTTATGCGTGTTATATTAACAATTTATAATGTTTGTTAACTACCATCAACAAAGCATAAAAGAGTGAATAAGGCAAGGGACCCTATCGTGGGGTCGGAACCATGACAAGTATTGTTGTTCGAGTCAGTGTCAGAGTATGGGTCTCCGGTGGCTCAAGTGGACTCAAGAACACAAGAATCACAGAGAGGACGCAACGGTTTATCCTGGTTCGGGCCAATCGATGCCCTATGTCCAGCAGCTGATGATCCTTATACTCAAAAGCACCCAAAATCGGGGGGTTACAACAGAATATAGAGAGATTTGGTAGGGGGTTAGCTCGGTGCTAATCCTTAAGTTGCCTCGTCGTCGGTGGAGCCTTCCCCTCGTCGGAGAGGAGGAAGACGATGGGATATGGTGGAGGAGCTCTCGTTACCCCTTTCTCTGCTTCCCCTACCCTTAGTGTTGGGCAGGAGTGAACAGAATGGAATGGAATGATCTGTCTTGGATCGTCCCTCCCCCTCTAGGTCTGACCTTATCTCTTATATAACGAGATAGGTCGGATACATAATGGTTTGGGAAGATGAGTATATGGTCTACATGCGCCGGAGTCTAGGAGGGTCTTGCAGCGGTGCTCTGTGGACCGTGGCGATGTCGTGGAGCCGAAGAAGCCTTGGGCGTCGTCCGGCTGCTCTGTTCTGACACTCTGCGTGTTAGGCAGTGTCGGCTTTGACCGGCCTCCCCTAGGTGGACCTTCTAGAGTCTTCTTGGTGGCGAAGGAGGTCGGCTCCAGGGGTTGACGCGCGGGCCTGGGAGCCACCCAGCCCCTGGAGGTTGTGGGAAGCTTGTCTTCTTTTGTCACGTCTCGTGCATGACCCTATCGCAGAAGTGGCCGGCAGGGCCATGCCTAAGGCGCGGCGTCTTGGAGCCCCCGAGCCTCGATGTCTTGGGGCTTGTCTTCTTACGCCCGGGCCTTGGCTGGCTCGCAAGCCGGGCAGGAGCCAAGGCCCGAGTTCGGGCGTGTCGTCGATTGGGAGTCTGAGGCCCGGACAAGCCCCGAGCCCTGTGCGGGGGCTACGCCGTGCCTAGGCTCAGCCAAGTTTCTTGGTCAGAGGGTGCGCGCGAGCGTACCTGATGGGTATAGCCCCCGAGCCCCCGGGCGATCCTGGAGAGGTCGGTCGGGGGTCCCTTTGGTCGGGAACCATTAATCCCGAGGCTTAACATACCCATATGTTAGGATCTCGTCAGACCCCATTGAGAAGCAAGTTCTAGATATTCTAGAAGATGATGACAATGAATTTCACATTTGCAATGTTTTTGCATCAATTAATAGTGTTTTTCATGTTTTTTATCAAAACGCTATCTGTCATAGCGTCGCTATAGCTTTATAGCTGCTGAAAAAAAGTTACCGCTATTTTCAATAGCTCGCTATTTTAAACAATGGTATAGATATGTCTTACGTCTACATGATGAGAGATAGAAATAGATTATGTTGATTCTCATTTTCTATTTTTGCTCTGTGACTTATACCATACTCTTTGTCTCTCTCACCTACAACAAGCAGTGCAGCACACAAGTATCTCCTCTCGTCGACATAATATATATATATATATATATATATATACACACACACGTTAGGTATGCATTCATGTTAATTTAGTGAATCTATGGCTGAATTGTGATTATTAGGCCCTGTTTGGTTTCTACAGGCGCTCCTAAAATTCCTATCACATCGAATGTTTAGACACATGCATGGAGTATTAAATATAGACTAATTACAAAATTAATTACACAACTTGCGACTAATTTGCGAGATGAATCTTTTAAGCCTAATTAGTCCATGATTTGACAACGTTGTGCTACAGTAAACATGTGCTAATGACAAATTACTTATGCTTAAAAAATCGTTTCAGAAATTAGCCTTCATCTATGTAATTGATTTTGTAATTAATCTATATTTAATATCTTTTATTAATATTTAAATATTCGATGTGACATAAATTTTAGGAGCGACTAAAAATGCTAACGCCCCTTAGAATCGATTTATACTTTAAGGATCCAGAGCAGACCTATACTGAATCAAAGTATCACAACAGAAGAAAAAAAAACGAAGTGACAGGGGTGGAAGCGTATGCTAGATTAGGCTCTGTCAGTCTAGGACACAGGCATAGGTATAGAGTACTTTGATTGATGAAGATATTAAGGCCTTGTTTAGATCACCTCCAAATTCTAAGTTTTTTCACTCTCTCCATCACATCAATTTTTAGGCGTATGTATGGATCATTAAATGTAGGTAAAAAAATAATTAATTACAAAGTTTAGTTGTAAATCACGAGATGGATCTTTTGAGCCTAGTTAGTCCATGATCGAACAAAGTTTATCAAATACAAACGAAACGTGCTACAGTATTCAGGTTACAAAAAATTTACAACCTAAACAAGGCCTAAACACTTACACTGGTGTCACAACTTGCAGCCAACTGAATACTTAGCAATAGAACTGCCACGTAATATTGTGCTACTATATTGAATAATGTATAGTTGTTGGTACAAGTTAAATACTTGATATCATCATCTCATAGCCTGTAGATTGGTCTCCTCCAAATTTTGTATTGCCATTTTTAGCGATGGCGGCCTACTGAAAAGGACACCTCTAAATTAAACTTAGATGGTTAGGCCACTAGATATATACGTAGAACAGGTCGTAGCAAGGTAAGGCAACGAAGAGGTTCCATTGACAGCAGTGTGGTACAGAGCGCAATATTGCAGAAGAAAAGACGGGCTTATCTACTAATTGTATATTGTGGACCAAATTCATTGGCTGCTAGACATCATACCGCTTGATTAGTCAGACCAATTGTTTTTTTCTTAGATATATAAATTCCAAGTTTCACCCGACCATACGTCTCCTCTATATGCTTTTTTATCTTGCTGTTAAATTTGAAATCGGTCATACCTCGCAACAACACTACTGATTAGAGGCTTCAAATAAAAAACACTTCTGATTAGATTCACACATAAAAACAAGTCAGTCGTTGCTACGGAATGGGCATAGCCGCATAGCATAATTGATTCTCTTATCACAGACAGGGGAGACGGACACCCTTTTGAGCTGGTTTGTGGTGCAGCTCACTGAGCACTGTGCTGCGCCCGGCAGGCGACGCCATTTATCACCTCGCCTCCTCCACCCGGGTGCTTACGTGGCGCGGCACCACCGGCTGATCGGCGCAGGAGCGGAACGCTGGCTCTCCAATCCCCCCGTCCCTAGCTGCTGCTCTGCTCCTCATCCCTCACTCTCCCTTCCCTTGCAGAGGCGAGGCAGAGGCTTCTCCCTCCAATAATTCCCTTCCGCCTCTCCTCCCGTCCTCTCACAAGCCCACTCCCGCAGAAATCACAGCGGCAGGGGCAGCAAAAATCTCCATGCCCACGCTCGGCCTAGATCTCCGGCGAGCCGGCCTCGCGCGGTAGCCCGATCCGCTCCCCGATCCCTCCCGGGCCCGATGGGCGGCGAGGTGCCGGAGCCGGGCCGGCTGAGCCGCGCGCTCAGCTTCGGCTGCGGCGCCGTCCCCGAGGAGGCGCTGCACCTCGTGTTCGGCTACGTGGACGACCCGCGCGACCGGGAGGCGGCCTCGCTCGTGTGCCGCCGCTGGCACCGCATCGACGCGCTCTCGCGCAAGCACGTCACCGTCGGCTTCTGCTACGCCGTGGAGCCCGCGCGGCTGCTCGCCCGGTTCCCGCGGCTCGAGTCGCTCGCGCTCAAGGGGAGGCCCCGCGCCGCCATGTACGGGCTCATCCCCGAGGACTTCGGCGCCTACGCGGCGCCCTGGGTCGCCCAGCTCGCCGCGCCGCTCGACTGCCTCAAGGCGCTCCACCTGCGCCGCATGACCGTCACCGACGAGGACATTGCCGTGCTCGTCCGCGCGCGCGGCCACATGCTACAGGTGCTCAAGCTCGACAAGTGCTCCGGCTTCTCAACGGACGCCCTCCGCCTCGTCGCCCGCTCCTGCAGGTAATAGATACCCGTGTTTCTGTTCATCTGCTGATCTGCAACGCCGTGTTTGTTTCAGCCTGCTTTCCCATTACGGCGTGCATGCTGGGAAAGTAAGCTGGGTAGTTGCGCACTTGAGTACTTATCTTTCCCCCCTCTTAGAGAAATCATGATTGATCCGGTGGAGATATTCCTAAAACGGAGTACTAACAGATAAGCTTGAGCCTTGTGTCAGTTTCTCCAAGTAGTCAGCTCGCCCGCTTCTGGATTCTCCTTCTCTCTTCTCTGAGAAATTTGCATGGGCAAGCTCTGATGCGATCTTAGGTCATAACATGCAAGAATTTTCTTGTCTATAAATCGATAAGAGCTTTGGATATGCAAAAGACACATTCGTAATACTGCTGGTTTGATCATTAGTCCAGTGTTTTTTGTTTCCTTGGTCATGCTACGTGAGTCCCCAGTTCTTAGTACAACAATTTCGCATAAGCAGGCTGTTTGAGGTGTCGACAGAATGACTGGTGATCTATCACTCCCAGGAGGCCAGGAGTACTCATGTACCACGTTGATTGGAATTGAACATGACTACTCTGTCCCCAATGAAACATATTTTTGACCAAAATTCAGTTGCAGCTTTGCGCGTTGTTGATTTCAGTTATCAACCAATTCAATCATGAACACATCTCATATGGTACCATGTCTTGTATTTCAGGCAGCATCTTTTCCCCTTCTCTCTTCTTCCCAGAAGTCTTTCAGATGGTTTAATCTTTTATTTCTTAGTTTGAATTCTGTAACGATGTTGTTGAATTGGTTGACTAAGGAAGTTGAATAATGGATGTTCATGGAAGTTTTGTTTTTGATATATATATATCTCCATCTCAAATGTTTACTATTATTTTTTGTGTGCTGAAGCTACTTTCCTTTTTGATACTGGAGGCAAGAAACCATGGTGGATGCTCTGTTGCAATTGCAGGTCATTTTTCCTCGGGAAAAAAATTGCTCTGGTTTCTTTAGCAATTCTTTTTTACGTATTATTTACTGATGCACAGTGAATTTATCATTCTAGTTGCTATGACTACATGATATCACAACAGTAACATGTCATAAATCGTCTTGACAGATCTCTGAGAACTTTGTTCCTGGAAGAATGCACAATTGCTGATGAAGGGAGTGAATGGCTCCATGAACTCGCTGTCAACAATTCTGTTCTGGTGACACTGAACTTCTACATGACAGAACTCAAAGTGGAGCCTACTGATCTGGAGCTTCTTGCAAAGAACTGTAAATCATTGATTTCTTTGAAGATGAGTGAGTGTGATCTTTCAGATCTGATTGGTTTTCTCCAAACCTCCAAAGGATTGCAAGAATTCGCTGGAGGTGCTTTTTTTGAAGTTGGAGAGTACACCAAGTACGAAAAGGTCAAGTTCCCACCTAGGCTATGTTTCTTGGGGGGTCTTACCTTCATGGGTAAAAATGAGATGCCCGTTATCTTTCCATATTCTGCAATGCTTAAGAAACTGGACTTGCAGTACACTTTCCTCACCACTGAAGATCACTGTCAGCTTATTGCTAAATGCCCCAACCTACTGGTTCTCGAGGTAATGTTTTTGTACATCTTTAATATTACCTGTGTGTCTAAAATAAGTGACTATCTAATTTCAACTGACAAGATAGATGCTCTCGGCAGGTGAGGAATGTGATTGGGGATAGAGGACTAGAAGTTGTTGCTGATACATGCAAGAAGCTACGAAGGCTCAGAATTGAGCGGGGGGATGATGAACCCGGTCAAGAAGAGCAGGGAGGAGTATCTCAGATAGGCTTGACAGCCGTAGCTGTTGGCTGCCGTGAACTGGAGTACATAGCTGCCTATGTATCTGATATCACAAATGGGGCACTGGAATCCGTTGGCACTTTCTGCAAGAATCTCTATGACTTCCGGCTTGTTCTACTTGACAAACAGAATAAAATAGCAGATCTGCCACTTGATAACGGCGTCCGTGCTCTATTGAGGAATTGCACCAAACTTCGGAGGTTTGCCTTCTACCTGAGACCGGGAGGGCTTTCAGATGTAGGCCTTGGTTACATTGGACTGTACAGTGGAAACATCCAATACATGCTGCTCGGCAACGTTGGCGAATCTGACAATGGATTGATCCAATTTGCAATGGGATGCACCAACCTGCGGAAGCTCGAGCTGAGGAGCTGCTGCTTCAGCGAGCGAGCTCTGGCAGTTGCCGTGCTCCAGATGCCGTCGCTGAGGTACATATGGGTGCAGGGGTACAGAGCCTCTCAAACGGGCCAGGACCTCATGCTCATGGCCAGGCCGTACTGGAACATTGAATTTGCGCCTCCCTGTCCCGAGAGCGCTTATCGGGTGATGGCCGATGCCCAGGTTCTTGCGTATTACTCCCTTGCTGGAAGGAGGCCGGACTGTCCTCAGTGGCTGGTTACTTTGCATCCTGCGTGACTGTAAATACGTCAAGCTGTCCGAGTGTGGTTATTGTACCAGCTGCTTGTGTACCGTAATAAACTCTAGTACTGTAGTGGAGGTGTAGTGCAATAAGGTGCAGTTGTTGCTTGTACTAGTATCTAATCCTAGGAGGATGTATACTAATGCTCTGTTTGCGTGGCTGATAAGCCATGGCTGAAAGTCCTGTTGATTGATTTGTTGTGAGAGAAAAATACTGTTCGTTGGCTGAAAAAGTACGGCTTATAAGCTAAGCGAACATGGCGTAAGTTGTTCTCTGCTTTCTTTTCCCCGTAATTGTATCTTGCTCCACTGTAAATATCAGAAATGGCCTACTAGTTTTGTTCTGTGCTAGATAAGTTGGAATCATGGATCTCAGGTGCATGGCATGCACAAGAGCAGATGAGCCGAAAGCGACTAAGTTTTATCATTCTCAAGAATTGATAAAGAGGCAATGCATTTGGACGTGTACTAGAATGTCTGGACTCTGAAGCTCGAGTCCAGGTCCAGCACCAGGAAGACGACGGTCACTATGAAACGGTCCCTCACTTGCCACTTGGAGCCCCTACGTGAGGTAGTACGTGGTCTCGGTGGGCAGCGACATGTATAGACGAGATGGAAGCATCTGGCTCTATCTGCTCCATGCAGGGAAAGCCGAATCTCAACAATCGCAACAGTTGTGTTTGGTGTAAAATCAGAGAGGAATTAGAGAGAGTTCTGAATTTCGCACAGCGCATAAAAAGGTTAAAAACATTCTATGTGCATGCCATATTTAGATCATGTTTTGATGCCCGGTAACTAGACCAAAACACCTGTAAATTACAGGCCCTATTTTTTCTCCGACACATGCCTAAGTTTATTATTTGGATGACTGGTGAGCCCACTTATTTTACATTCGGTTTGGCCCAAAACCAGCGTAAAAAAAATGTATCTCCTGACGTTATTTCTTCTCTACTCCCGAGAAGAGTAAGTGGTGTTTAGATCCGGTGACTAGAATTTAGGAGGTATGTCGGAAAGATGTTGCATGGAGTGTTCGAATACTAATAAAAAAATAAATTACATAATCCGTCGGTACTTTACAAGACGAATTTTTTAAACCTAATTAATCCGTTATTAGAACATATTTACTATAGTACCACATTATCAAATTATGAATTAATTAGACTTAAAATATTTATCTTATAAATTAATTACAAACTATATAATTAGTTTTATAATTAATCTATGTTTAATACTCCGTGGATCAACATTCGAAACACCTCCTAAACTGGACCCGTTCACCCATGCATGGTGAAGCCGGAGTGCTACGCTTCACCCTTCGATTTTTGGCGCCGACATGTAGGCCCCACCACCCCACGCCCTCTCTCCCGCACGCCTCCCCACTCCCCAGACCCAGCCCTCACCAGCCGTGCATGCCGCCGCCCCACCCCTCCCAGCCTATGCCGCAGCCCCGCCCCTGCACTCCGCCCCCTGCCAACGCCGGCGGCCCAACCCTGCCCCGTCAAGCCGCTGCCCCTCCCTCTCCCAGCCCCGTCCCCTCGCTCCTGGGTTCGGCTACCTCCGCGGCCGCTTGCCCCTGCTGCCCGAGCCCACCCACCGACCTTGCCTGTCCTCGCCCGATTTCGCCCCCTTCTTCCCCACGCCCAGGGCAGGTACCAGCGTCTGCTAGATCTCGTCGGCGCGCAAGGCAGGCCGGGCGCTGCAGTCGAGGCGGGAAGCAGTCGGCGATGCCGCGCCTAGGCGGCTTCGTCTCCTCACGCCGGCCAACATCGACGACGGCGCAGCGATCCAGCGTGGCTCGGCCCCGGGTCCGGCGCCCCCCACCCCTTCCTCTCCTCCTCCACCACTTTTTTTATTATTATTATTTTGATTTGGTTTCTCACGTTGTAGCAGAATGCGCTGGCATTCTTCTCAATAGTTTATCTGCATTGTGTTTGCTCGGGTTGATTTAGAGTTCTGAATCTGCATTATGTTTGCTCAGGTTGATAGTTGATTTCGAGTTCAACTGCATTCTCCATTCTTTTCAACAGAAGAGAGACGGGAAAAAATATTACTTTTTTTGGGTAAAGTTGAAAGGGCTTGACTATGTTTTGCTGCACATTTAGAAGCGTGCCCTTGCCCCTTGCACAAAACCATCAGATATTTGCATATATGGTAGGAATATATGAATTAAGATTTTTAATCGCGTTTCATTGCAGGAGTATTTTTTTCTTTGCAGGAGGAGTATTGGAGAATGAGGAGGCAGCGGCCTGCACCTATGATCTCGCTGCAAAATATGGGGGCACGGATGGCACCCTCAACTCACCGGTAAGTTCAGAGAACTCAGTTTGCATCGATCTGTTAATTGTCTCAGTACTATAAGTCTGTAACCTGCTACTGTATGTGATAAAATAATGCAGCTGAAATCGTAAAGCATGAGCATAAAAGATGTAGCGCATGACAAGAGAGGCATATGTACCTAGCCATTCTGCATCGCAGGAGTAGCTCATGCTTGAGAGGCGCCTCCAGCTCCGGGTATAGGGGAGTGGCCAAGTAAGCACGGCTATCACTGCATCTCTGTATCCATGTATCAAACGCCTGTTCAGCAGCTGTTACCTCTACCTTGGGATGTTCAATATGTATCTCTTTGTTTGGTCTTCTACTGCATCTTGCTACTGATAATTTCAAGAGGCCGCATTTTTGTTACACTACACATAAGTTGCTGTCATGTCATTTGTGCATTCAACATTATGATATCTGCATTTCTTGTGGCAATGTGCTCCTGATCTTCTAGAAATATAATGAGTCAGGCTGTACCTTGCCCAGAGCCTCTAGAATTGCAGAAATTGATGTAAACTCGCTGAAAAAATTATGCTGCATAATTTATTATTTAGAAAAAGAATCAGCTTAGTAAGAACTATGGGAGAAGGAATCCCAACTTTGCTTCAACGATTTGCTATTCAACATATATGCAGTTGATAAAAATCCCAATTGGAAGAATAAATGTACTGTAATCATTTTGTTTTCCTGATTTATCAAATGCAACTCTAACTCAAGATATTTGATCTTTTTACCTGCTGAAACTCTAACTAAAACTCAACTTTAAGATAGGGTGTCGTCTTAACATCCATGATACTGGCATGCAGGAGAGAGGTTTTTTCATGTTTAGCTGAGTTTTGGTGTCGAGAGTAATTTGTTATACATCCATGACCTACATCAGTGGAGGGCTAGGGGCTTCCCTTGCTTCCAGTTTTCAGCAAGTGATGAATCAGAGGCATCTGCTGTTTTTTTAGGTTAAGCATGATATTTTAGGTGTCTAAAGTTAGGGGAATTTAAGCAGCTCTACTATCTCAGTGCTATTATATTATTGTTTTCTCCACGTCAACAAGATGAAAGACAATCTGATGTTTTTATTCCACTCATGTGCTTGGGACTTGGGAGAGATGGCTATTCAGAATGATGAAGACCGTGTAAGAAAATTATCCAATGCCATTGGAAAGCTTGGACAGCTAAATAAATTTTTTTTTGATGCTATAACAGGCCTGAGGTATGAGGTATGAGGTATGTCTGATTATGTATGTGATACTGAAAATAGGTGTCAACGTTTAAGAGTGAGCTAATTTCTATCTTTTTAATGTCAAAAATATAGTGGTAGTGTCCTGGCCTACATTTTCTTAGCAATAGAGGCCATGGCTGATGGTGGAGTTGCTGCTGGGCTTCCTCGAGACCTCCTTGCGGTGGGTCTTGCATCTCAAACCTTGAGCATTCATTCCATTAAGATATGCTGTAATACACTCTTTGCATATGATGTGTGATTCTTTTAAGCCAGTGTCTCCTGGTTGACGTTTGTACCTTCCATCAAAAGATTGAGTTATGTCCTTTATATGCATTATATGTACATATCCAGTTAATGCCACTGCTGTCTGCACTTTCTCATAGACATTTTTTGTCTATTATATGTCTGTTGTTTAGGTTCTTAGTGCTGCAACCATGGTGAGACAGACAGGAAACATCCAAGGCAACTGAAAGATCAGGTCATGAGCTCGAGTAGGGTGCGTTTCGTGGAATACTGATACGGTGAAGCCGCGTGGATTCATGTGCCGTAACCCGCGAGGCCGCGAGTAGACCCCACTCCGCACGAGCGAGAGACCCCACCCCAAATATCCTCCCGCATCCTCCACTGCGCCCCAGCACTCAGCCTGAGCAGGCGAGCACCGCCGCCGCCATCGTGTATTCGTGTCCCGTCCCCGGCAGCCTTCGACAACCCCTGTCCCACGCCACCTTCGCCCAGCCACATGAAGCAGTGGGTGATGCCAGAGTGGAGGCAAGGAAGCCGTCAAGCCGACATCCTCTCCCGGAGTCCCTCTCGAGCGGCCGCAATGCGCGAGCTGCATCCGCGTCAACGCGCAGGTACAAGATAACAGCTAACAGGACTTATCTGGATCAAAGGGGCCCGCATTGTGGGTGCAGATTAATCCCAGCAAGGAGCGGGACTTGCTGGAGCAGAGAGATCCAAGCTGCTGGCTTGAGATCTGCAGATGGTGCCCTCTTTGATCCTTTTTCTCTCTATCATTTGCAGGTATTGCTTGCTGTAGTTCAGTAGTGCATAAATAACCCTGTGTTAGTTGAATTAAGGGGAATGATCTATTCGAGGACTTCATTGGTGCATTTTATTTAAGAGAATGCTGATTTCTTAGGTTGCTTGTGGGATGAGATTCTGGAGATTCTTAATATCACCAATTAAATACCAAGAAAAATGCAGGATCTTTTATGGGATTTTGCAATCAAATATATAATCCGTAAAACACCAAGTTAAAGCTTGAAATCTCTCATGTGGAGATATGTGAATTAAACACCAAGTTAAAGCTTTGGGTTCTGGGGTTCTGCATTATACTATTATTACATATGCAAGGGATGGTTTGCGCCAAGTGCAAGGCGAAATGCAGTTCCACTCTTACATTAAAATCTTGTCTATAGAGATTTGAGGTGCAGCACATCTTGTGTTGTATATATGTCTTTAGCAACTTATGAGTAGATTGAGTCAGCAGGTGCCACCATCAATGTTGCCACACTCATCCATGACACATACCATGCTGTTTGTTTTGGAATCACATGGCTGCTGGATGCATAACATATGAAACAATTTGTTCTTTCTTTTTTTTTGTATCTATATCTTGTAGCCTCAGTGTTCAAGTAATTGGATGCAGAGGGGTTTATAAGCCTCATGATAATACACATAATTTCTATTTTAGCATGGCTAGATTAACTTGTCAATCAGTCTATATAGTAAAAATACCCAAGTAGTCTATTTATCATAATAGCCCAATCAGTCTATTTAACATAGTAGTAAAAAACAGCGTATATACTTAATATGTGGGTTGAATGGGCAGAGAAAAGCATCAAACACCTTGGCAACTTATTGCAGTTGGTAGTAATCTTAGATCTTAACACGTGTGACGTGCATATGTCTGTAATCTAAACAGTTGTGAATGTAATGGTAGATATTCCTGAATCCTGATTATTTCTTACCAAAACTGGCATAACTGGAACTAGCAATTCAATGTTCACTTGTCAAATATCATCATAGCAGAGTGGTGGTCTTTACCTTTCCATATTAATAAAAATGGCAGGGAAAGACATAATAGTTTTTACAAGGTACCTTGGTAGCAAGGATTTTCATTAGGTTCAAACAGCTAACTCTCGTTCCTAGCATTTATAGTGGTGCCCCTCAAGCAGCCCCAGACATTTCACTGAGTTATCTCTGCTAATAATCGTCGCACTTTTTTTGTTCATTCTGCTCAGTGCGATGTCTTTTCAGTTAGGTTTTGGGACTCACTACTATCTGCCTTTTTGAGTAGCCAATATAGTTGTGTATACCATCTTTGTTTAGTTAGGAGGCATATAGTGATACGTGAATAAGTCACCTTGGCTGATTTAGATGGAAACATCGTACTTTTACTGGAGGTAGTTTTAAGAAGCCTTACATTGTAGTGTCTTCATCTTTCTATTTGTTTGGTCGTTATCTTCTTATTATGAGATTTAATAATAACCAGTAGACGTGTGGTGAAAATACTCCCTAGGATAATTTTTTTCTGTTTACTATAAGATTTGAAAGTTCCCCAGACCCCGCACAGAGCGGGAGCTCTCTACACTGGGTACGCCCTTTTTTTTTTACTATAAGATTTGAAAGAACAAATGTATCTTAGGTGGTTTGACCATGCTTGAACTATAGTTAAATGACCTTTTTAATGGCCAGTGCAAGAGAAAAACCACAAATAGTTACTTATTTTGACCTTTATCAGACCAACATATTTCTAAGCTTATGTGTTATTAACTGTGTTGTTACAGGGGACTGCTCATTTACTAGGTGTAGTGGTGAAAGTGTGCATTGTAAGGTTATGTAGATGATCAATGATTCCATCATCAATACTAACTGGAAACGAGTACAATATTTGCAGCTTTGTTTTCAACTGAATTTCAGTTTAGAAAAGAAATACAGCACTGGAAGATTGATAAATGCATAGATCATGTGTCCTATTTGTTTGTGTGGGTTTTGTCAAGCACATTCCTATAGATGTGATTATATTCTTAAATAAACTATATTCTGTTTGAACTATCTTATTTTGAACAAAAATTACATGGATCATGCTTTTGACAGTTACTGCATCGTCTGTGTGATCTAAGCAACAAGGATTCTATTGAGTGCCTTTGCAGGTAAATTATTGCTTTGATCAATTTTGGTGTGATAAGTTATCAAGTACTATATTTTCTTGCAACCTTAGACATTATTTTATAAGCAAGGGATTCAGCTCTAACCTTAGACATTATAAAGTTCCCAACTCTCATAAGCAAATCATTTTCTTCCCCTTTTTGTATACAGATCTCATACTAATGTTCTCAACTCTAAAGCTTCACATTTGGAGACAGGGTAAATTACTCATCCTTTCCATTCAGCTCCGATCTGCGACAAGTATTAGGTGAAATGCATAATTGCCAATTGCTATCTATTTCAAGGCTAAAAACTTAGAAGTGTGAGTTGCACAGTGCGAATTTACTTCAGTTAAAATATTAAGTGTTCATGCATAATATATCCACTACCCCCGAATTAGCATAGCTTAAAATGAAATATCTCTGAATATGTATTGTGCCATGTTGAACTTTGTGCTGTAAGAAGCATTTCAGAATTTCTCTGATTACAGTTTGGATACAAACCACCATTTTAGGTTTTCTGAAATCATATCTGAAGTTTGCTTCTATCTCGTCAGCTTGTCAAGTTTACTATCCTGGTTTCTGTAGTCTATAGATGAGTTAGCTGATTTATAATATGTATTCTGTAGGCATTGATGTAGTACAATACTGCTTAAGGGGCTGATAATTTTGGATTTTTCGTACGTGTGCAGCATATTGCTTATGGACTGTTGGTTATTATTCAGAATTTTCCTGCCTTATCCTGGACAGGCAAAATGAAACCAGTTTTTTTTTTTGGTGCAAATATATCATAGTTAGGAGTTTGTTCTTATATATGTCTTGATGGGATGGTTTATTATCTATCTGGTGAGATGGTTTATTAATTATCTGAAACAATTCAGTGTAGGACTATATGGATTGCTCATTGTCCGGATTCTAAATATATTGGGACAAACATGATCCAATAACCTTAAGAGGTGAGCAAAATTAGAATGCAGCATTGATTTTAGAAAACCATGGATCTCCACATTTGTCTTTCCTATGAACTATTAACTAAGGTCTATAGATTTCATTTCTTGTGCCTAACCAAATTAAGTAACAAAAGAATAATGAAAATTATGTTACATAGTCAGTTAACTCTGATTTGATCTTTCCCTTTGTGTGTTCCTGTGAAATCTGGCCGACCTAATTAATTTTGGTTTGTGGCTTGGTTTGAGCAGAGGAGTCGCTGAAGTGGGAGTTGGGTCGAAGGTCCACAAGCCAAATTTCAGGCAATTAGGCTATCAAGATATTTATTCAGTAAAATACCCTTGGCATCTTATTTGGTATTCAATCATAATTCATAAAACAACTAAATTATATTTATTTCAAGATTGAAGAGACATCTTTAGTGCCAGTTGAGATTTGTGATATCACTGTTCTATTGAATATTTACAATCATTTCTTCTAATCCTGTTTCTCCTTGAGCGTTGCACATGATCACCAGAGGCAAATGATGGGAAGAGGTGGCTGCTGGTGAGTAGTGTGCTTACTCAAGTGGCAGGTCGATGATGGAAGGTTGTACCGGGGCTACAACTAGGCGAGGTGTTTGACCATACATTGTTCTCATGTGGGTGAACCTAGCATTTGGCGTGTGCTATCTAGAAAATTTTCTACTATTTTTGCTATTGAAGATAAGATTATGAAGAACTCATTCTACGAACAAAGGGGCGAATTGATAGGAGTTGCCACTATTTGTAGGCATAAACACAAGTGACCAGAGAAAACCGAGACATGGTGATGTTGATTGTTTGTAACTTCATTGACCTTTGTGATTATGCTACATTTGTGGTCGTTCTTTCAAATACAAATGCGTATGGAGCTGTTATTTCTGGATTGAGATGATTGCTTGGAACAATTGTTTTATTGATGCATAAAATAGATCCAAGTTGACACTTTTACAAAAAATCAGTTAGGGGTGCCAAGGAAGAGAGTTAAAATTATTGACCACATTATAATTTGTCGAGGACCATGATTAAACATCGCTAAGAATAAAAATCAGGATGATATATAAAGCTTTTGGTAAACACTGAAATCAGCCTCAGACTATGGCGATGTGTGGCATCACGTAGATTTAATTGCTGTTGGTAAATATGGACTGCTTAAATGTTGCATATCACTAATAGAATATTATATCCGTAGCAACGCACGGGCATCTGCTAGTCTGAGAAAAAATACGCTATCTATCGGGCGCATCGCGAGTCGAGCCGCTCGGTGACGAGGCCGCTAGGGGCGAGGGTTTCTCCTTCGAGGGTGGCATCCATTCCCAACCACGCCACCGCCCACAGCTCACCCCGCCGGTCCCTCCCCCTCCCCTAACTACTCCTCGCCAGCTGCTCACCTTGCCGCTGGAGCCGACGGAGGCCTGAAGCGAGGGCTCGAGTCGGATCTGCGACCTCGTCCGCGGCAAGGACGTGCCGAGCAGGAGACGTCGAGATCGACGACGACCTAATGTTACTTCATCCACTCCGGCCAAGGGTGCAACAACGTCGAACATATTTGCATCTCAACTTCCCCGTCATCAGCATAAAGCCTGTTTCCTCTGGTCTGTTGCAATGGCGGACGCAGTATTATAATATTGGGTGTGCAAAATATTTTTCCCTTTTATTTTATTTATAATCATGTCTAACTCATTATAAACAAACTTTTAACATGCACACTTATAAACTTCAAAATAACTATGAAGTATTTTTAAACTAAATATGCGATGACTACTTTCATAACTTTTGATAACTCACTTGCTGACTTGGTATGTATTGAATGAACACAAGTCTATATATGTATTTATAGTTTTATGGTGGCAACCTTCTACACTTTTCTATATTTTATAATATCTCTCATGTTTATCTATTCCTCATATATTTCTCATTACACAAAATATCTAGATCTAGAGTATTCCATGTAGCATATTGTTTGCATTTATCTATTGCCTAGATATTTCTCATGCAAAATATCTAGATATCGGGGTGTTTGGGATTGCTCCACGAAATCTGTTCCACAAGCTCCACTTGTGGAGTAGCTCCCAAAAAAACTGGAGGTTGTGGAGCACCTCTTTAGGTGTTCTCACAACTTCACCCTTTTACCTCGGGCAGAGTGTGTGGAGCTAAAACCGTTTGGCTAAAAAACGTAGAGCGGAGCTAAAAAAACGTAGAGCGGAGCAGTCCCAAACACCACCAGTATTATATTGTCTAAGGTATGACAATTATGTGTTATGCATACTCCCATTTATCTGGAAAGTTTCTCACGTAAAAGTTTCCTGTTCCATAAGATACTAGGAAGGCAAATGTGTTGCATCCCCTAACTTTTTTTCTACTATAATAATATTTCTTTCCTTTTAATAAAATATTGTTTTTTTCTACTCTAGAAGTTGCTTCTAACCCGAAAATATATTTTACTACAAAGGAGTAAGTAAAAAATGTTCTACCTGTAGAAAAAAACCCATTTGTTCCATAAAGGACATCCAGTGTTATGTAAGAGTGGCAACATTCCTAATTTATTAATTATGCAGTATTGTTATTTGTACAATACTTTTTTCGAATGCATAATTGTTTTTATAGTCAGACTATTTCTATTCTATCCTGTCATGTCAAGCCTTCTTTTGCTCTTTTCCTTACCACGATGTCTATCTTTTCAACTTGTATACCTTTGTTTTTGGTTGGAGCTTTTCTATGGACTTAACGCCACTATGTGCCTCTAGTGTCTTTGTGCCTTGCGGATAATAAACACTCGCTTAGCCAGATTTGTTTAAGGTTGATAAAGTGTGACAATGCTAACCACAAAAGTATTTTAAAATTTGCAACCTAATCTTTAACCTTGTTACAACATAAAAATCTTTAGTAAATTATAGAATGAAAAGAGAGTGCTAAGAAGACTCAAAATTTTCATGAGATATTGAAGTGTCAGTACTCTTTATTAGTTTTTGTTGGAGCATGAATTTTTTTTAATGAGTTCATACTATTTTTTATTGATGATAGCAATGTTCCTAGTTCATGGGAACTATTGTTTCATGTTTAGCACAAAAATATTTAGTATTCACTTGGGAAATTGTCACAAAAAGGAAATTGTTTTTATTTTAGAAAAATGTTGCTATCGCTTCTTGGTTTGTGAAATTGGTATATGTTCTTGTGAAAATGGCTTCTAGCTTCAATAGAAAAATATTCAACCTTAATAAAATATAAAAAGTTCCGTTTACTTATTTACAATGTACTGTATGTTACTAGCCACTGATAGTGTACGACGAAGAGAATAGATATGAAATTTCTGTTATGTTATTTAAAACAAATGTTTTACTAGCCATTGATAGTGTCCAATAAAGAGAATAGATATGAAATCAACAAGAATAAAAAATTAAAAGGGAGTGAAAGAAAAATAAAGAAAACACATAAATTTTCAAAGAAACTGGAAAAACGGCCCACAAGAAGCCCGTGCGTTTTTTTTCCGCCGTCGATGCATAACCTGCATTCCCCCCTTCCGTCCGCTGCATCCCCTCTTCGCTCCTCGTTCGTCTCTCTCTCTCGCTACCCTCTCGCTCTCAGACGACTGTTGGGCCGCCGCCGCCCTAGGCCAGGTGCTGAGGCTTTCGTTGGTCTCTTCGCCGGCGACGAGCACCCACCAGGTACTCCCACACCTTCTCTTCCCTTCCCTTATGCTGTGCGAAGCTGAGCACCGAAACCCTAACCTAAAGCTATTTATCTATTTGACAAGCCTCCTAACTTCGAAGTTTTTGCAAAAATTATTGGGTGTACATGTGTACACCCATGTCCCTTTACTGGATCCGCCCCTGGTCTGTTGAGTTACAGATCCATGTGAGTTCATCCCCTTCCCAGCCCATGCTCTGCTGTTTAGATAAAAACTGGATCCTGAACATTCCAGATGTAGTGCCCTGCGGCAACATTTTTTATTTTGTTTTATGAATTCGCATGCCAAATATTTTATTGTGCATAGCTGATAACTCATATAATCTTGCATTAGTGACCAAGACACATGTTTTCTATGTTCAATACTGTTGGAAATAAGCCATAATTACTGGGTGCAAAAGATGGCCAATCTTTTTCAGTAATGACATTTTTTTGACTTATTTCGGCAATGAGATATTATGGCGTACCCAGTGCAGAGAGCTCCCGCTCTGTGCGGGGTCTGGAGAAGGGTGTCAGTGACAAGCCTTACCCACGCCTGTGCAATGCGAGGAGACCGCGACTCGAACCCGGGACCTTCCGGTCACAGGCGGTAAGACTCTACCGCTTGCACCAGGCCCGCCCTTCGGCAATGAGATATTATATTCTATAATTTTAAGATATAGACATTTATGTAAAATCTCTTCTGGTGTATCCAATATGATAATGTATGGACTACATAGTAACATGCTAAAAAGATCAATGCTCTAATATATGTAGTGAAAATTACTCCTGCTTACAGACCTGAGTGTATCAAATAGTCTCCCGCACGAAAGACTTGAAAGAGCTCACGTGTATTGTGCCTACCTTGGCTACTGGTGAAGATGGAGTCGTAAATTCACTTAACCAAAGCCATACCTGATTGCCTACGAAGATCTTAAGTCTCTCATGCCCAACACCTACCCCTACCTCTATCCTTAACAAGGTTGGGATATCTACGCATAATACTAAAAAAATAAATAGATTAATGATTTGGATGGCAAGGCGGATGTACTAGTCAAGATATATCTGTCCTTCTTTTCCATCTTAAAAATAAGACTTCTGGCGAAAAGAGTGGAGTTGACTACCCTTGCTTAATAACTAGTTGCGACAACAAGCAGCAAAACAAAGACCTTCCTCTCAGGAGGTATCTTCATTATCAATACTTCTCCTGACATCTCAAGGTAACCTGAAAATAAACATCCCTGTAGGAAGAGAACATCAAACTGATTGAATGACAGAACCCCCACAAGTGAATCTTGATTCTTGAATTAGAAGATCAGCTAAGCCTTATTTGGTCACTTCGTACAAGCATTCATAGTCATTATGGGAAATTCTTTTTTAAAGGAGATGTGTATTAGTTCCTTCTCTATATGGAAAATGGTTGAACACATTATAACATTGTGAAGAATGAAGTTGAAACACATGAAAATTCAGTTTGCAGCAAACCAGGATTAAACGGATGGAAATGTCACATCATTTTGAGAAGAAGACTTAATACACAATCGTTAGTCTATATGAGTATATATCCTATATATCAACTGGCATAGCCTACACAATGCAGTAACATGATCCAGCATAAAAATAATTTCTTCACTAATTTCATTGAGATCATGATGTATGAATATGATATGATTAGAACCAACACAATTAGGGAAGAGAAATTGGGATACTAAGTTAACAAACAAATCTATCTGGTTTTTTACGGAAAGCTAATTCATCGATTATCGAATACAAAGAAGTTACTTCTCGGTTGTAAGCCCATGACATGATACTTGTTATAGATTCTATAAAAATAGTATCCGGTCTGAGAGAGCTCCCGCCTGTCTGTGGGTGCTGGGAAGGGTGTCAGTGGCAAGCCTTACCCTCGCCTGTGCAATGCGAGGAGACCGCGACTCGAACCCGGGACCTTCCGGTCATAGGCAGTAAGACTCTACCGCTTGCACCAGGCCCGCCCTTCTTGTTATAGATTATATATCATATGAATTGCAAAAATGCATTGTTGTCCAATAGATTGATGTTAATGTTACAGGAGAAATTTTACATGGTATGGGTAGGTAAAAACTCTACCTGTACATCAGTCGACAAGTGGCGGGTTCTCAGAGCCGACCCAGCTGCAGGCAGTGTCTTTCAGCATGCCTTGTTGTTTCATCATCTCCCTAACGTCATGCATGTCATCCCACTTCTCGGCTGCCGCAAGTGTGTAGGAGAATGCCATGTAGGCGCCCGGTCTCCCCTTGCGGCTCAGCTCGAAGACCTCCCTTGACGCAATGTTGGCCATGTCCATATCCCCGTGCAGTGTAGCCGCCCCGAGCAGCGCGGGCCACACATCAGAGTTTGACCTCACCGGTATTACCTCGGACGAAATCATAGGCCTGCCGCACGCTTCCGAATCTACCCAACAAGTCCACCATGCATGCATAGTGTTCCATCCGCGGCCGCAGCAAGTACTCACTCTCCATGCTCTGGAAAGCCTCCTGGCCCTGAGACAGCAGCCCAACGTGTGCGCACACCGACAGAATGCTCAAGAAGGTGGCGTGGTTCGGCCTCACATTTCGCCGCTCTCGCATTTCGCCAAACAGCTGGACGGCCTCATCAGAGAGGCCGCTTTTCCCATACCCGTCGATCATCGAAGTCCAGGTGATCACTTTCCTCTCTGGCATCTAGTTGAAGATCCTACGCCCGTCTTCCACTCGGCCACACTTGGCATACATGTCGACCAGAGCGCTTCCAACTTTGATGTCAAAGACTAGGCCACTCTTCATCCCCTGGCAATGCACCTGCTCGCCGAGCTCCGGCGATGACAAGAGTGAGCAGGCCCTGAGCACGCTCACAAATGTCGATACCGTGGGACGAAGCCCTGCTCGCTGCATCGCATTGAACATCTCGAGCGAGCCCTCCGCCGTCTCCTCCGTCTTGGTCTACCCCTCCACCATGGCGTTGTACGCCACGATGTCCTTCCCCTCCATCTCCTCGAATATCACCTCGGCGTCTCTGAACATCCCTTCATTCATGCACCCAACGACCAGCGCCATGGAGCACACCACGCTCCGCACGGGCATCGCGCCGTGCAACCGCCACGCGTAGCCAAGTGACGACTCGCTCTTCACGAGAAGGCGTCCACAGGCATGCAAACAGGATCTCGTCCGGACTGCGAGCGGACCTTACGCTGCGCGCGTGGATCTCCCCGGCGGCAGTAAAGGCGAGCAGCGCCGCACGCGGCACCAGCGCCATGGGCGGTGGCGAAGACGTCCAGCCATCCCGTGGACGCCGCGAGCCGCCACACGACCCCGAGCGCCTCCGTTGGGCGGCCCCGCCGGAAGTATCCCGTGACGAGGTAGTTGTGCGCGGCACGGGTCGGGCTCGGCATCCCGTCGAACACGGCGCGGGCGTTGTGGAGGGAGCCGCACCGGAGGTGCAGCACGAGGAGCTTGACGGAGAGGTCGGCGCTGCCGGTGAGTCCCGACACGAGGAGCTGCGCGTGGAGGGTCTGCGACTCGGCCCGCGGTGGGGACGCGTCGATGAGGGGCCTTGCGCTGCCATGGCGCGCAATGTGGCGGTGAGGTCGCGAGGTGGCGAGGGCCGCGGTGCCGGCCAGGCGCGCAGGTGGGGGGGGGCCTTGTTTCTCTGAGCTGACATTTCTGGACTCTGCCCGTCTATTTCTCTCGGTAAGACAGGGAGGCTCGTCATGCCGTGGCGTATGTGATAGTGTCGGGGGGGCGGTCTTGTGCGCAAGCGCATGCGGGCGGGTGATGCACATGCAGGGGATAATTTGGTTGGGCCGTATTGGCCAACCAACCACATTGGTATCTGTCGACGTATATTACGTATTTACTGCAAATAATTTCAAATAAAAAACTTGTCAACTATAAATCAATTTCTAAATTGAACTTTTGTAATTTCATTGCTCATGAATAATACCTCCTTTTCCTTCCCTTTCCTTTGCTTTCCTTTGCTCCATGGCGGCAACCACGGAGCAGAGCAGAGCATCACATGCAGCTCTTTTGGCTAGAGTACTCCTTGCTCCCATGCATGGGGCTCATGGCCATGGGCCTCCCCCCACGTGCCATCACAGGTTCACAAGCTTTGCCTGGCCGCTACTATCCCTGGGGACGAGATGTCGACGACGACGACGACGAGGAAGCTTAGTGTGACAGTGTCCAGCTGCAGAGCTGCTGCTGTCTTTGCTTCGCACCTTTTAATTTTAGCCGCCTTCGCCAGCACGTATTACGCAGCAGACAGAGGAGAGGCAATCAAGCCGCCGGCTAATGCGTGCATTTGCACATGCGTGCATGGCAGCATGGGCAAATCGCGGGATGCCCACGCCACTCTACCCTACCATCGTTTTCGGCTTGCTCGTGTGGTCCTTCCTCCTATTTCTTCACACACATGCACCGGAATTTTTTTGGTATGAGTGGTATTCAAATTCAATGAAGGACTCTACTCAATAATGTTTTCGTTAAAAGATTCTATTTAGTTGTGGTAATTGACACCTGGACACTATAGATATTAAAAATAAGATTTTCTAAGAGTAGATGAGACTGTGAGAGAGAAGTTAAAAGTGACCATTATACCACAAACCTTAATAGTTATCAAAAAAATTCACAACTTTTGTATATGAAGTCGAATGAAGATGAGTTTTATATAAAAAGTGTAGAGTTTAATAAGACCTACAACTTTCTAGAGTTGTCTTAAGTTATTTTTTTATATTTGATCCAATTTATAGGAAATAGCATAAATATTTATGACACAAACTAAATGTTATGAAAATATTTTTTGATGTAACTAATGATATTAATTTCTTAACACTTTTTCCTATAAATTCGATCAAATTTAAATTATTTATCTTAAGATAAATTTATGAATTATTTTTTTTCCACCAAAGACGAATCAAATTTAATTATTCATGAGCAATGAAATTACAAAAGTTCAATTTAGAAATTGATTTATAGTTGACAAGTTTTTTATTTGAAATTATTTTGCAGGAAATACGTAATATACGTCGGCCGATACCAAAGTGGTCGGTTGGCCAATACGGCCCAACCTAATTATCCCCTGCATGTGCGTTGCCTGCCCTGCCTTCCAGCGGGCCCGGCCTCGCCCTTGACACTACCGCGCCACGCCCGTCGGCGACGAGCCTCCGTGGTTTCACCGAGAGAAACAGAGCAGGCAGAGTCCGAAATGTCATTTCGAGAAGCAATACCGACCGACCAGTACCGCTGGCTCGCTCGGCATCGGCAAGGCGGCCTCGCCACCTCCGCTCACTGCGCCGGCCGCGCTTCATGGCCGTCAGTTATGAGGCCTCATCGCGCGTCCCGTCGCCAGGCCGAAGTCGCAGACCCTCCACACGCAGCTCCTCGCGTCGGGACTCACCGACAGCGCCGACCTCTCCGTCAAGCTCCTCGTGCTGCATCTCCGGTGCGGCTCCCTCCACAACGCCCGCGCCGTGTTCGACGGGATGCCGAGCCCGACCCGCGCCGCGCACAACTATCTCGTCGCAGGATACTTCCGACGGGGCCGCCCAGCGGAGGCGCTCGGGGTCGTGCGGCGGCTCGCGGCGTCCACGGGGCGGCTGGACGTCTTCGCGCTGTCCATGGCGCTGAAGCTGTCTGCGGCGCTGGCTCTACCCGGCCTCGTCGCCAGGGAGGTCCACGCACGCGTGTTGAGGTCCGTCGCAGAGTCCGACGAGATCCTGTTCGCGGCCCTGGTGGACGCCTACGTGAAGAGCAGGTCACTTGGCTACGCGCGGCGGGTGCACGGCGCGATGCCCGTGCGAAGCGTGGTGTGCTCCACGGCGCTGGTCGTGGGGTGCATGAATGAAGGGCTGTTCGAGGACGCCGAGGCGATATTCGAGGAGATGGAGGGGAAGGACGTCGTGGCGTACAACGCCATGGTGGAGGGCTACAGCAAGACGGAGGAGACGGCGGAGGGCTCGCTCGAGATGTTCAAGGCGATGCAGCGAGCAGGGTTTCGTCCCACGGTATCGACATTTGTGAGCGTGCTCGGGGCCTGCTCACTCTTGTCGTCGCTGGAGCTCGGCGAGCAGGTGCATTGCCAGGGGATGAAGAGCGGCCTAGTCTTTGACATCAAAGTGGGAAGCGCTCTGGTCGACATGTATGCCAAGTGTGGCCGTGTGGAAGACGGCCGTAGGATCTTCAACCAGATGCCAGAGAGGAATGTGATCACCTGGACTTCGATGATCGACGGGTATGGGAAGAACGGCCTCTCTGACGAGGCCCTCCAGCTGTTTGGCGAAATGCGAGAGCGGCGAGATGTGAGGCCGAACCACACCACCTTCTTGAGCATTCTGTCGGCGTGCGCACACGCTGGGCTGCTGTCTCAGGGCCAGGAGGCTTTCCAGAGCATGGAGAGTGAGTACTTGCTGCGGCCGCGGATGGAACACTATGCATGCATGGCGGACTTGCTGGGTAGATTCGGAAGCGTGCGGCAGGCCTATGATTTTGTCCGAGGTATACCGGTGAGGCCAAACTCCGATGTGTGGGCCGCGCTGCTCGGGGCGGCTACGCTGCACGGGGATATGGACATGGCCAACATTGCATCGAGGGAGGTCTTCGAGCTGAGCCGCAAGGGGAGACCGGGCGCCTACATGGCATTCTCCAACACACTTGCGGCAGCCGGGAAGTGGGATGACGTGCATGACGTTAGGGAGATGATGAAACAACGAGGCGTGCTGAAAGACACTGCCTGCAGCTGGGTTGGCTCGGAGAACCCGCCGCTTGTCGACTGATGTACAGGTAGAGTCTTTACCTACCCATACCATGTAAAATTTCTCCAGTAACATTTTAACATCAATCTATTCTACAACAATGCATTTTTGCAATTCATATGATATAGAATCTATAACAAGTGTCATGTTGCGGGCTTACAACTGAGAAGTAACTTCTTTGTATTCTGATAATCAGTAATTAGCTTTCCAGAAAAACCAGATAGATCTGTTTGTTAACTTAGTATCCTAATTTCTCTTCCCTAATTGTGTTGGTTCTAATCATATCATATTCATACATCATGATCTCAATGAAATTAGTGAAGAAATTATTTTTATGCTGGATCATGTTACTGCATTTTGCAGGCTATGCCAGTTGATATATAGGATATATACTCATATAGACTAACGATTGTGTATAAGTCTTCTTCTCAAAATGACGTGACATTTCCATCAGTTTAATCCTGGTTTGCTGCAAACTGAATTTTCATGTGTTTCAACTTCATTCTTCACAATGCTATAATGTGTTCAATGTAATACGAGGATATAGGGAACACTTGCGAATAATAGTCTGGTTGTGTCAATAAGCTCAGTTTGTACACTTGCGTGCTCATGGAGAACCTGCAGGTACCTTACTGGCCGCTGCTCAAGTACTGGTAGTAGGTCTACGTGGCCGGTCTCTTCTTGCCTTGTTCTGATGCTTCATTTCTCTCTGTTGCGTGTGTTCTGATTTTTTAAGTCAAGTGCGCACTTCACTAGCTTGAGGATGCGATGCCGTAAGGTTTGCCTGGATAGGATATATAGAGGTTGGGACACACTATCCAATATGATGTTAATCACATTGCGGTAACTGAGATAGACATGCCAAATACTGCAGCGTTTCTTTATTTCAGACATTTGGATAAGGACAGCATCACAGTAGGTTTATTTGTAGGGTTAGTATCTTGGAACCCTAAAATTTTCATTCAGACATGCGTGTTCTTACTGAATCCATTACAAAAGGGAAGGCTAATGTGCTACTGATATCTAGCTAGTAAAATCAATTTTTTTTCACAGCTACTAGCAGCTAAGGCTCTTGATCGACGCCGAAGAACAGCTAACTGTTCAGATGTTGTAATGCTAGCTGCTGCCGGCAGATTAAGCAAGCAAGCTACATATATTTCTGTTAGACTAGGACCTGTTGTTTCCTTGATCAGAGTACCCCACATGGCTCTAGATCATGCTTGCTGCACCACCTACATTTTGTTCACCAGAGAGTCCAATTTATTTTCAGAAAGTGTTGCATTTTAATTTGTCCACATTTTCTAGAACCAGTAGACAAGCTCATTGCTTATTTCTAAAAGCGCTTATTTCTTTGCAATTTTGACAATGTTTCATGCTCAAATTTGTAACTTTGTGCTGCAGGTTAGAGGGTGCAAACATGTGAAGATCTTCAAGGTTATCTATCTATGTTGTTCGTGTGTTTATCTCTGGTAGTGCTTAAATTATGGCATTGGCCAACTTTTCTAAGATGTCTTTGTTGTTAGAAATATACTTATATCTAAACTTTGAGGTTGACTTACAACGGTTGAAAAATGATCTGAAGTGTCATTTGGTATGAAGTAACGAGTGTTGTTTTGTGTAATCTTGTTTCTGAACTTGACCAATGATAAGTTCCTTTTATCTTGTCCTTGTGGTATACAAGATTGTGTATTTGCAACTTTGTTAAACTTGATGGTAAGCCGTGAGATGTAATCCGCTGAGAAGTTGCTATTTGTGCTTTTGAGATGCACAGCACAAGTTTGTAACTTGGCTACTCAGTTATGTGATCTGGATTCTTCCTGATTTGATACCCCTATTTATGTTTAGTTTTCGCAGATTTCAATTTCATATTTATGTACTAATGCTCGCAATGAGAGGTGAAAAGATGCATGTCAGTGCTATTTTATCTCATATTTTAAAGCAAATGATTTTGTTTCTGGGATGATGTGTTAGTATCAATTGATATATTCTAGACCTACATGTGAGCACTAGTGTGAAACTTGCTCAGTTTGTTGATCTGGCCTGAAATATGATCTGATCTTTTGCTCTGAAACTTGCATGGTTGTGCTCTTGTGTTGGACACAGTGGTCGTTGTCACTCACCTTTTCAATTCAGAAACAGCATACTAGCAGTGGGGCGCTAGGTCAGGTAACCAGCGTTTCCATCAAAATAACATGCTAGCAGATACCAGCCATCCAAATAGCATTTTACAGGTGTAAATGAAAATCGTTGGTTTTCTTGTGCACAGAAAGTTACTGGCGGATACTACTTACATGTGTAAAAAAACAGCCAAACAGTGCCGATTCCAATTTGATGATGGTTACGGTTGAAAATCATGGCCCGGACTCATCCGATGCACAATTTTTTAACGAACATATCGTAGCACGTGTTTCGTTAAAAGAAAGAATTACGCATCATCACCATCATCGATGCTGGCTACGAGCTAAGCAAGCTTTCTCTAAGGAACCACCGTAACGGCCGAGCAGCATGTCATCCACCACGACATTGGGGCCTGGGGCCTTAGGGCTGGGGGCGGGGCATCCCAAACGTCGAAAGTAACCTTCTCCTTGTATACGTCCAATCCTCCTCCTATACGCGAATGCGTCTCTTCACGACAGGATTAGTGAATATGATTAGACAGTTAGTTTTAGTCTCAAAGGGCATGATTTTTAGAAAAGTCACGTCCCTTCGTGACACCCCTTTGCTTGTATAAATATATTTCAGAGATCAATGAAAGCAAGTTGTTCTAAATCTTGTTCATTTACATTCACGCTTTAACAGGTTATCAACACTTTGCTCTACGAACGAGAAGGCAGGAGGATGACGATGCCAGTGATGCAGATTCTCCCACGCCGTCTCCGCGCAAGACTGCTGCTGTCATCTCCAACAACGAGACAGGCACAAGGGCCATTAACACACTGCGTAAGCACGTTCTTTGGTGTGCAGAATCAAGAACTCAATGTTGATGGCAATGGAGACGCTTCTTCATCGGCGTTCCTGGAAAAGAACGAATTCAAAACAAAACCAGAAGAAGATAAAGGATGGTAAACCACCGCTATTGATTGTCTTCGATTTATCATATTCTTACCTCACTACGGTGGACGCCGGGGCGACGTGTGCCCTGTTTGCGGTTCTTGGCTGGGCCCTGGCATGCGGCGGCGTGTTTGCCGATCCTGAGGCCAGGCCTCATCACGGCCGCGGTGGTGGCCACGCCCCGCTCGTCAGGACGGCAGCAGTGGCCGTGCCCGCGAGCCTGGTACCCTATCGTCATCGGCAGTCGGCACCCGCGGCTGGCGGCTCGGTCGTCAGCGACCTCCGTGCCATGGCCTCACGCCGCGGCTAGTGCCCCCCCGAAGCGGCCCGAAGTCGGCCGCCCACGCGTCCTCCGCTCCTCGCGGTCCCCAGCGCCGGCAACCGGCAGCCCTGCAGGCCACCGCGCCCGTGGCTCATCGGCGATGAGGGCTGGTGGCGATGGTTGTGCCCCGTTCGCCCAAATCGGCAACGGCGGCTCCGCCATGCCCGTGGCACGCGGCGACGGCCGGCCCAGTCCGAGGCCCCTTCCCCGGCGGCAGCGATGGCCGGCTCTTGGCGGCTTTCGTGCCCGCTACCTCGCACCGAAGGCCCCTGCGACCACCGCGTATTGGCACCCGCGCCCCCCAAGTGACTTCCCGCGGCGGCGGCGGCCGCATCTCGGCCGCGCGACGTTTTCTCCCGATGGAGAAATCGTCCGTGGGGATAAGGTTGTGCAAATTTGCACAAAAATCCTTCTTTCTCCTACGAATTACATGATAATCATAATAGATTATTGATGTATTCTAAAATTATGTTTTAACCATCAGGTTTTAACATGTCTTTATATTTATGTTCATTTTAGACCATATATGTTTAAAACGAAATACGATGCACAATATTTACCTTATGTAATAAATATTTTTGAGACCATGCATCATCAAAAATTGCATCGTAATATGTACAGCCGTAAAGGAATTTACCACTGTAAATTCACTTTCCAGATCATATATTTTCTGGATTTTTTTAGTATTGTTCAAAGTGTTCGTCTAAAATGGCAAACCCAATAAATATGTACTATTAGCATTACATGTTCAAAGTGTTTGTTCAAATCAGCAAACCCAATATACTTGTATTATTATCTTTACATTATTCAAAGTGTTTGTCCAAATTGACAAACCCAATAAACATATAATATTATTATCATGACCTTTTCATCGCAACTACTTTGTTATTTGCAATTTTCATTTTATGTTAAACCCATTTATGCTTTATTATTTAAAGCTTATAGCGCTTATATTTTTTTAATGCAAAATCGATTAAGTGTATTACCTCATTATTTGTATAACACAAATGTTCCACATTGTATGTTGGCCATACACAAGGTAGCGCCATAGTTGCTAATGTGGGATCTACACTAAATTATTAGTGACTATCCTCAACGTGCGCACCCAACATCGCAAATTGGAACATACGGTCTACATCTTTTCACAAGATGACTACCATTAATCAACATTCCTATTGGCCATACACAAGGTAGCACCATAGTTTCTACTGCAGGATCTACACTAAGTCCACAACTTAGTGACTATCCTCAACGTGCGTATCCAATTCGTTTGTGGATTAAATAAGGTCTACATCAATCTTTTGATGATTACCTTAAAATGTGTTTATACAAATTGCATACACCACTTGGCATCTACTGTTCATACAGACTATATCAATATTATTAGAGGTCTACATCTTTTTGACGGCTACCTCTAATGTTCCAGCATAAAAGAGGTTTACACTATTAGTGAGATAGATCTTGTCTCCTATTTATTTTGCATTAATTAATACAACACTACCATAGCAATTTCAATTTACCCTTAGCGCAAATTCAGAAAATCTATGGTTTGCACCTAGTTGGAGTAATGGCCACGAAAGAGTTTGATCTCTCGCTTTTGATGATCACCATTATCCAATATGGTCAATGGACGTAAAGTTAAACTTTG